GCAACCTGATCTAGTTGAAGATGTCCATGCCCACGGCAGGGGGGTTGGACTAGGTGACTTTTAGAGGTCCCTTCCAACCCAAACTATTCTATGTGTCCCCGAGGGCTCTCGATTCCTCCTCTGCCATAGATACAACTGCTGGGGAACAGGCATTAGGAAACATGGTGGCCTCAAGGCTGAGCATCTCCATTTACAGAGTATCTGCTTGAGACAAGGACATGTTTTCTCCAGAATCACCCAGGAGTAGTGGCAGTTCTTGTTCTCTGGGAAAAAAGGTCTTCCTTTTGTTTCTGGCAGAATCCCGAAGGTCCTCTCAGAGGAGGGACAGGATCACCAAGTTTACCCAATGCTTAATGCTTTCGGTGTAAGGCACATCACTGTTGATCATCGCCTTTCCCTCCACACACCTTTGTGTTCTCTCTAGGTCTTTTAAACAATTAAAAAAAAAAAAAAAAAGAAACCTTAGAAAAATCTGTACGCTTTGAACACAGTGATAATTAAGCATTAATCACATTTGATATGCTTTAACATTTTTAACTAAGCTCTGTGGGAGGAGGTTTCTCCTTTAACAGACAAAAATGATTTTTGTGTCAAGGAAATGTACTAGAATGCTGCAGTGTTCATTTTGGAAAGGCAGATGTCCAGTACATTGATATTAATAAACAATTATTAGCAAGAAGATATACAATTTGGATATTGTCTTGATTTCCATAAGTGGGGGGAGAGGGGAATGTAGTTTCTTCTACCAAAATCAGTCTTGGTTTTCCTTGCAGTGTTTTGTTGTTTGTTTTTTTTTAACTAAAAATAAGAACATTTTCCTTTTTTGTTTTTATACTGTTAATGCAATTCATGTTTTTATAAGGACTGTGGCAGGCAATACATTCATTTGCAGCTTCCCCTTTTACTTAGAAATTCATTTCTGTATTACTGCATGCTGCAATACAGCTGTGCTTGGCAAAACACATGCCATGAGGCACATAGCTGTGCCAGGCCTCTAGACTGGCTGTACCTAGCATTGTTCCTATTTGTTTGAACGTACTATCAAACTATGTGCCAGCTCTTACATGAATAAAAATGTGGGGTTTCAATTGATGATGGTGTATTCCAAACAACAATACACCTTATTAATAAGGTATATCTATTCTACTATTATTGTAGTAAATTTCTTGTCCAGGCTGTTTTGCCTGACAGACCAGCCTATGCAAATAAAAACATATAATATCCAAGTATATATGTTAAAGTACTAAGGAGTTTGTGTTTGGATACTTAAAAGGGGGACAACAGTTGGTGAAATATTTAGTAGTGGGAGAAATGAAATGCTTCAGTCTTAATGGCTGATGTGTCACATCTGTGTGTGTGTTTTGAGATACTAGTGCTTACCATAGGAGGCTGGGGTCAAAACTGGTCTTTTTGTGCTCTGTTTCAAAGCAAATGAGCAAGCGGTTTTGCGGGACAAGACGACTGAATGCTTTGGCTCTGTGGGATTTACTGAATTCTTAATAAACTTGAGGAAGAGAGGAGACGCTGGCTTTGCAATTAGTTTGTGGTTTTAAATAAGCACATAAACTTCTGACAAGCTGCAGTTGCTATAAGCAGGATTTTTGGCATCGAACACTTCTCTCATCCAGCTGGAAAACAAAACAAACCCCAGTTGTTAATGAGGCAATGTTAGTGCATTCATCTTTGCATCCCTTTAGAATTAACAAGCCAATATGAAGCCCCTTAAAAGTTTACATTAATCTGCAGGACAGTAAAATCAAGCATCCTCATAGCTGGTGCATTGCAGCTCTGCCTTTAGGAAATGCAGCTTATTTAACCAAGACATGCTGTTACTTTGCATTTGAAGAATCCATAGCAAATCAAAATTTAATCCAGGCGCTCAGCTTGTACTGAAGTTATTTTTATTTTTTTTACATCGTGGCAGTCTCCCATAACAATCAGCGGTAGTTCTTGTTCTAATGATGTAATCGTTCAGTCTCCCCGCCACTACCAGGGGAGACGTACAGGCTCTCGTTATTCACTGGCAACTGCCTTTGCTTGCATTTTCTGCTGAAGACAGGCTGCATTTACTCATCTGCTATGCATTCGCTTTGTTTGATTTGCCAGGGTTTTAAATACGTTGTGTGCATATGGATGTCCCTCTGATTATATAGAGAAAATGAAGACTGCTGTGACTGACGGGGGAAATGAACAGTTTGTTCACCAAGCATGTAACTTGTTTGATTTTGGTAGCATATTTATAAACGTGCTGTATTTTAACTGGGTGATCTCATTGCCTCTGTGGAAGAGAGGTTATAAAGACACATGCTGAAGTCTTCATGTCTAGTGAAAAACACTGCCTCGGTAGCTCATGGAAAAAAATACGTTTGTCGCTGACATAGAATTGTTGAACTAGAGCCATTTGTGAAGAGACAAGAGGGAAGTATTACACTCGATGAAGAAACACTAGACTAAATGGGGCTAGATTGATTTTGAATTAAATATTTTTTAAAAATACAGTTTAAAGGGGGAAAAAATTAAAAAAAAATCTCTGAAGAGATAAAACCAAACAAAAATCCCTGTGTTGCACTTGAGCGGGTGAATCATCACTAGGTGTGTCTGAATCAAACACACTAGCAGTTGAACAATGTTTTGAATAACAAACTTTGCTGGTCATGGTAACAGCTGTAATGGAATATATTTGTGTGGTGTGTACAAATCTATGGTAAATGAACATGATTAAAGTGGGGAAGGACACAGTTCAGTTTCCCCACGTAATCCTGCCCAAGGGTTCCTTATCTTCTGTAATAGTCATACTGGGGATTTAAGAGGCAGTTTTTGTGTGCAACACAAATCAGAAGTGTCAGGGTACTCGTGAGTGATTTCACAGTGAGAAGGTAAAAATGGATGAGTCTTAAGTGCATATGCAGGGGCCTAAGAAACACAAGTGTGAAGCACAGTTTTCTTCCCTTGTTCGTGACCTGGCATATATGTATATATGTGTCACACATGGAGTGGAAATGCATTCCCTATTTCTTCACTGGCATCACCTCACCCACGAGGAAATCCATACCTGAGCCATTTTGCTTTCACAGTCATGGCTGGAATGTAGCGATCAGTTTGCTCTACAGGTACAATAAACATAAAAGTCTATAAAATAACTGATGTGCCTTTTGAGAAGTATGCAGCAGTGCGGACCACTATGAGTTGAATAGGCGTATTGCAGGTAAAGCGGCAAGAAAATTATTAAATTCAGATGAAGTTTCAGAAATAGAGAGATTTTGTGATAGGGGATGGAGAGAGAAGAAAGCTTTTTTAAAAAGAAAAGTTAATGTTGGTGTCTATCTGTCTTGTAGGTACATACATTCTGACAACTGCCCTGCTGCCCCTCCTGGAAAAAGAAGCTGATGCCAGAGTGGTGAGTTTGCGATGCGGTTGAAAAGTGGTGTTTTACTATTCTTACCTTCTGGTTTGTGACAGCATTTCTTTGACTGTGCTAGCAATGCAGGATTAGTTATAATGCTGTAAGCATCTGTAGAATCCTCTTGGATTTTGCTAACAGCAATCTCCTTCTCCAAGGCAAAGCTCCTGCCTGCTACTCTCAACCCTTCATTGGAAAGCAGAGTAAAACGCTTCCTTTGGAAACTTCCCTTTTTACTTTCCCTGGGGCAAGTTATCTCTTGCAGCATAGTGCAAAATACCTGTAACAGGAGCATAGGCTTAAAAGAACCTTGTAGGTCTTGGTATAAAACTGAACAGCAGGTACATTTTTTTAAATGAGATTTCCCAAGTTTTATATGGTGTCTCTTGTTTTCTAATTAGCTTCTATAAATACTAAACATAAACTACAAATAGTGCTATTCTGCTATTTTCTTTCTCCCAATTACATTTCAAAAGGAAGAAGCACAAAGTTCCCTGATGGAGTCAACACCACTTTGAATGAAAATCACTTTCTAAAAAAAATTCTATGTCTTCCACCTCATCTCCAGGTATGCTCCACACATGAGCACAAGCATAGCGTGAAGAGTATGCAGAGGAATCCTCCCTAGGGACTTTTCCCTGATGGAGTCAACACCACTTTGAATGAAAATCACTTTCTAAAAAAAATTCTATGTCTTCCACCTCATCTCCAGGTATGCTCCACACATGAGCACAAGCATAGCGTGAAGAGTATGCAGAGGAATCCTCCTCCTAGGGACTTCAAAATACGGCCTGAAGACCACATTACATGCATGAGTGCGATTGTGGGGGATTCCTGGTTTTGTTTTTCATCCATTTGCTTTTCATTCATTTGTTTTTCATTCATTTGATTACAGATAACTGTCTCTTCGGGGGGCATGCTAGTTCAAAAATTAAACATATCTGACTTGCAGTCGGGAAATGGGACATTTGATGGAACTATGGTGTATGCACAAAACAAGGTACAGTCCATGGTTTTGAGAACAAAGCCCAGCACTTGTTTGCTAGGTAGTTTATACCATCTGCTTTGCAGAAAGCCTGTTGTTCACTGTTGCTTTCCCACTGCATCCAACCCGTACAGAGCTATAATCTTCAGGAGTATGATGGCATGCACTTATGAGTGCATACCATTTTGTGCGGAGAGTATGGCTAGACTTCCATTTGATTTGATTTAAGTCTTGAGGGGGAAAACTGTCTTTAGCTGACAAACCCTTTCTGCCTGCTTAGTTCTTACCTACAGTCTGCAGCAAGTAGACGTGGTCAATAAAAGCAGTGTTAACCACTTTAAAAGTAAGCTTGTGGCCAGGATATGGATTGCAATGACCATGGTGGTCTCTGACAAAATTATCCAATAAATCCCAATCAGGATGAGAAAGGGTATATTTCGGCTATACATAAATGCCCTGGTATTTACAGCATATTTGGTGTAGTTTATCTCCCTGGGAACTAACTTGGTGGACAGGCTATTGAACTTGATGCTAGTCTGGCTGGTTTTGCTCTATCCTAGAGACAGCAAGTTGTCTTGACAGAACAATGGGCAAAAGCTCACAGAAACATCCATTTCTCTGTTATGCACCCCGGCTGGGCAGACACTCCAGGTAATACCTGCATGACACTGACTATATTTTTTTTCTTTCCAGGTTTAGTCTAAAAGCAAAGAGAAATGAGAGGTTCTGGTAGATTTCTCCAACAGGTGCAGTAATTTCTTGGCTCCAAACTGGTACTTGAAGTAGTTTTGTACCCCCTTGGTAACTTGGTTCTGCACAGTGTCTGCTATCTGTGTATAGTCAGAGAATAATAATGGGCAATGAATGGTTCCAGCCCCACACAAATGCACAGCAGAGCCATAGTGCATTAAGCTAACCTTTAAGTTACATTTTTAGTGGGACTGTTAAACACACAGAGAAGAGCTTTTGCTTCTGTGGGTACCAATGTGCAGACGTTGGGAATTTGCAAGGGCATATAGGAAAATGGAGCATGCACCATTGTGCAAGCCCTGTTCCTCTGCTCGTCCTCTAAACATTTACTGCTGTCGAGAAGCAGCGTGTTTGGCCAGACAGCCCTTTGTCTGAGCTGCAGCTGTTCTTCAGTGATTGTGTCTCAGCAGGCGGGCCAGCATCGGTTATCCAGTATGCATGTTGCGTTCCGCAATATGTTACCAGCCCCTAACGCCCAAGCTTGGGATGCAGACTAGCAATCCGATCTCTAGGTCTTTTCTAGGGATGCAGTTTCCCAAATTTGCTTCTGATGACAGAAGCATTTACCCTGTCTACATTATGCTTGAAAACTGCCCTTTCCAACTAAATATCCTAGTATTTCTTTTTCTTTAAAATACGTTTATTTTTGCACATCCTTTGTGGATTTCAAACCTAATGGAGCATAAAGTTATCCCACCTTAAAGTTCAAGGACTCTCCAACCCCCCAAAATAAACAGCTGCAGGGGATGGGCCTTCAATCATCACCTGTTGGACAAAATAAAAAGAATCCAGAGTTTAAACATGTATTATGTTGTTGGCTTAGGTACTATTCACCATACAGTTTTTAAATCATAGAATAGTTTGGGTTGGAAGGGACCTCTAAAAGTCATCTAATCCAACCCCCAGGCCGTGGGCAGGGACATCTTCAACTAGATCAGGTTGCTCAGAGCCCCGTCCAACCTGACCTGGAATGTTTCCAGGGATGGGGCATCCACCACTGCTCTGGGCAACCTGTGCCAGTGCTTTACCACCCTCAGCATAAAAAATTTCTGCCTTTTATCTAGTCTACGTCTACCCCCCTTTAGTTTAAAGCCATTCCCCCTTGTCCTATCGCAACAAGCCCTGCTAAAAAGTTTGCCACCATCTTTTTTATAAGCCCCCTTTCAGTACTGATAGGCTGC